CACTCACCTCAGCCTCCCAAAGGCGCAGGATTACAGGTTGAGCCACTGAGCCCGGCTTAGCCATTTTTTAAAGAGACGGAGTCTCACTCTGTCACCCAGGCTGGAATCCAAGTGGCATGATTATAGCTCACTACAACCTCGAACTCCTGGGTTCAAGCAGTCCTCCCACATTAGCCTCCAGAGTAGCTGGGGCTGCAGGCACATGCCACCATGCCTGGCTGATTTTTAATTTTTTTTTTAGTTATGGGGTGTCGCTATGTTGCCCGGGCTGGTCTTGAACTCCTGGCCTCAAGGAATCCTCCCAGCTTGGCCTCCCAAAGCATGCTGGGATTACTGGCATGAGCCACCACACCCAGCCCCCTTTTAACCATGTTCACATGTACAGCTCATTGGCATGAAGTACATTCACACTGCTGTGCAACTTTCACCACCATCTGGCTCTAGAATGTGTTTTTCATCTTGCAAAAACCTAAGCTCTGTACCTATGAGACACGAACTGCCCATTCTGCTCCTCCATGCCTCTCTCTGTGTCTCTCTCTGTCTCTCTGTCTGTCTGTCTCTCTCTCAGTCTCTCTCTCTCTCTCTCAGTCTCTCTCTCTCTCAGTCTCTCTCTCTCTGTGTCTCTCTGTCTCTCTCTGTCTCTGCCTCTCTGTGTCTCTCTGTGTCTCTGTCTGTCTCTCAGTCTCTCTCTCTCTCTCTCTCTCTCTGTGTGTCTCTCTCTCTCTGTGTCTTTTTCTGTCTCTGTGTCTCTCTCTGTCTCTGGAGGCTCCTCCATCCACCATGCCTTGTGGTTTGAATGCCCGTATTTTCTTTATTTCTATACCGCTCTCTTCTGATGTTCAATAAAATCTTTCCAAAATCATAGCCCATCTCAGCTGTGCTAGGAGAAAGGCCTATTTTCCCACCACATTGGAACCAGAGCTACAAAATAGGCCTTTGGGAGGCCAGAGTGGTGATTGCAGTAGAAATTAAGAGTGAGAGACCCTCTGGGGACAGCGGAAGCTCAAGGGAAAGAGGGAGGTCCCCTGGGCTCATCTGCTTTCATCACCTGGAAATGGCTCCAAGGTTTGCTCCAGTCAAGCTCTGAACCCCAGGGAGCCTGCGTTTATTTTCACCAGACTTGGAGGCTGATGCTCAAGCTTTGAACTTGAAGAATTTCAGCCTATACCCACAGCAGCTTTTGGCTGTCCCATAATTCTAGGTTTGAACACAATAAAGACTCGGAGGTATGACAGCTTCTTAGTCCCCTGATTCTATGCCTTAGAAATAAAAAATAAAAAAAGTAAAATTGGAAGGTGCAAACAACTGAGATTAAGGGGCAGAGTGGAAAGAAACAGGAGGGCCATAAATAAACACCGCAGGTGATGCAGTGGTGTTTGCTGCTCCCAACTCCTGTTAACCCTGCTGTTCCCTCCCTTCCCTGCAACGGTCATGGGTTGTCATTTTCCTTCTCTTTCATCTCCCATGTTAATTTCTGAGACACTGCAATGTGCATCCTGATTTAACCTCCTGCTTGTGTGCTCAGGCCTGTGGAGGGGCTCGGAGGAAACCCACTTGATCGGGGAGAATTTTAAGCAGCATTAAGATCATTTAAAAGGTTACCTTTTGGATAGGTGGGTTTAAGCCAGAAAATAGGAAGGTCACCACAGAGCTCTAAGACTTTAGAACTCAGGAAGCTGCTGTCCTTCACAGGTTGATCTACGGCCACCCAGATCAGAGAATTTTCTTCATATTTAACTGGCATGATCTTGCCTTCCTGTAAGTAGAAATGAAAAGCATCTCAGCACAGAGGACAGTGGAACATGCAGCATGTGGAGTCACGTGTTGCGGAAAGATTCTTTTGCCTTATAAAAAACTAATGAGAATTCCGTGTGCGCGCCCACTCCAATGGTTTAATCTCTCTTTGCAGTGTCTTCACAGTACCCAGCGTCCCTCCTCCTGCTGCCCTGCCTTTGGAGAACTGCGATGTGTGACTAGGAGTGTCCCAAGTTGAAGTGAAAATTACTTGATACCAACTTTGAGATTTAGGTTAATCTGATGTTTTTGATCAAAGATGTTTTTTGAGGAAAAGCAATTGAATGGACTCTGGAATCCTATAAAGGCTAGAGGAACCCTTCATCTGAAGTGAAAATCTTGTGAGGTTTTGTTCTGCAGCTTCTGAACAACAATAGGAAAAGCAAGTGATTGGTTCTTTAATGTCTTCAGTTCAAAGTATTATTTAACATAAGCCATTTCTCCATTTCCTAGCTATAACAACATATTTCAGATGTTCCCTTGCATCAAGCACACCACTGAGATTTCAAAGCTAAACCCTGGATTTTCTTCCACAGTGAGATGCTGAGAATGGTCTGATAACCCAGGAGACAAATTTATTTTGCCAGGTTGTTCCTTTCATGTATTTATTAGTTTGCAATAGCTTGGAGAAATTAAAATGTTTTCTCCTTATTTTTAGCTAAAAGCAGCACTTCATTTATGCTTTCTCCCTCAGGCCTATGGCTGCATTAAAACAACTTAAAGTTATTGGAGGAAGCCAACACTCAGGTAATCCAGTTATTTACCTTAAATTAAATGGCTCTATCCAGGAAATGAATGCTCTCTGAGTACAGTAGCTTTTTAAAGTTATACAAAACTGATGAAAAATGTATGAGAGCAAGTGGTGCATAAATCTACCCCTCAGAGTCTAAAGTGTGTGGGGAAGACTGGGGTTATTGGGATAATGCATACAGATGCATCCTCCAAGCTGAGAATGCTAAATAAATCGTGGGGCATGCACTTCAGGTGCCCACCCCCTCTCCTTCCTCTCTCCCCTTCCTTACAACACGATCCTGCTTTTATTGGAAGCCACGATATATATGCCTAGCCCCGGAGAGACACTTGCTTTCTCAGACTCTGCAGCAGCCAGGGCAATCCAGCGAGATCCAGGCCAAAGCGTGCCGAGGAGCTGGGAGACTTTCTGCTTTTCCTGGTTCAAGGGAAGTCCTGACTGGCACTGCTCAACCTCTTTTTTTCCTGACTTTTTTATTGGAATTCTGAGTAAGAATGTCAGGAAGAGGTTGAGCAGTGCTAACATGATTGGAGCTGGAAGGATTTTTAATTTTTTTTTTTTTTTAATTGGAGCCTCACTCTGTCGTCCAGGCTGGAGTGCAGTGGAACGCTCATGACCACTGCAACCTCGATCTGCTGACCTCAGGTGATCCTTCTGCCTCAGCCTTACAAGTAGCTGGAACTACAGGCATGCGCCACCACGCCCGGCTAATTTTTTGATTTATTGTAGAGATGAGGTCTTGCCAAGTTGCCCAGGCTGGTCTCAAACCTGTGGGCTTAGGCAATCCTCTCACCTCGGCCTTCCAAAGTGCTGGGATTATAGGAGTGAGCCACCACAACCAGCCCTGGAAGGGAAAATTTTTAAGCACCACAGAGATGCTGGACACTGAGCCAATGCTGGCAGCCATCTGCCTCCACATTGCCTACTATGGAGAAAAACAAATTTCTCTTGAGTAAATCATTCTAAGCTACTGACAGCCAAACATATTCTTAATTCACACAAACATAATTGTCTGTAGTTGTTTTTGTCTATCAGAGGATCCACCATGCACAGTATGAACAACTAAACACAAGATACATAACCTACCTTTATGACCTAAGAATCATATGCAAAGACTTAAATAGAAAAATAATCACCAGGATGAATTATTTTTGTACTTAAAATTTTTACTTTGAATTATTATTATTTGAAATAGTGAAAAACTGAAGATACCTGAAGTATTCAAGAATGAAAGATTTTTAAAATTACAATCATATGATGTATAATACATCCACCATAGTCTACATTTCAAAATAACTGAAGTTATACATAATAAGAAAGTACAACTGTATAACTTCTCTTACGGAAAGAATGTGCGCGCGCACATGCGCGCGCGCGCACACACACACACACACACACACACACACACACACAGAGAAAATCCACCAAAATGTTAACATTAGTTATCTGTGAATTATGTAATTATGGGTGATTTTCTTCTTTATGCTTTTATGTATTTCTCTAATTTTCTATAGTGACAAAGTATTGGTTTTAAAAATCAGGAGAGAAAACTTAAAAAAATACACTGCAAACTTATGATTAGACCTGGGGAAGCTATTGCTGGGGGGGGTTGGTCCTTGTGTCCATAAATGTTCTATGTCCATTTATGGGGAGAACGGCAAGGATGACAGTGTGACTGTAGGCGATGGCAGTGCAGGAAGAGAAGGTCAAGGGTCAGAACAAAGGAGGTCTTGGTCCCTTTCCCTGCGGCATTAGTGAGCTCACACTGAAAGCCTGGCCCTCGATTCTGAACTGTATGGCTCATGCGGAACGAACCGGAACACGATCAGGAGAGAATGGCTGAGCAAGGAATGTCTGGAAAACATCTCCCAGGATGAATGTTGGGCAAACTGGGAGTAGAAAAGAGAAAACAGAGGACATGGCAGCCAGCCTTAACAACCTACAGGTTTGTTTTCAGTGTTTGTTTTATTCTGTTTTGAGATATCACCTGCTTCTACTCCTATGAGGACAAACAGCCAGGTAGTTTCCAGGCACCTTGGCTTCCCCATAGTTTTCCTCTTTTGCCTTGGGGGAATTGAGACTTGTTTCACCTCTCTCTCGGGGATACTGGAAGAATCAAAGATGATCATAATAAAATTAACAGTAACGAGCAGCAGCCATTTCTTCACCCTCTAGTAGATTCTAGGGAGTAGGCACAGTATACATGCCCCAAGTTTGCAGATGACAACACAGGCCCCAAAAGTTGAAGCCACATGCATAGCAAGTGTCAGAGTTGGTTTTTGAACCCACATTTTTCTGATTCTTAAGTCCATTTTCTTTTCATCCTGCCCTGCCACAACTCAAATGGAAGACAATAATGGATGTGGCCATTTTGTAAGCCCTAAAGTATCATAAAAATGTGAGGTGTTACTGTTAAATGTGTCTTTAGAACTCTGAATGCAATTCTTGAAAGTAAATTTAAAAAAAAAATCAAGCTCAAAGGCAAGTTATTAATAATAAATGGAAGAATTATGTTTAAAAAACTCACAGGTTTGACACATAGAATAGGAATTAGACATGTTGTCAAACTCTTGAACAGCAATAAATAAATAAACAAAAGAAAGAAAAGGAAAGGAATTAGATATATGTTGTAGCTTCATTGGGTGGAACTTGAACCAATGGGTAAATATTGTCAGGGCAGCCATCTCAGCTCAATGTAGGACAAGGCAATTAGAAAAGCCCTTCTCCCCCACCTCAGGTGAAGCCGGTTGACACATAGAATGGGGGGGCGCCCTGTCACTGCTTTCCAGTGGAGTCTGGGTGATCCGCTGTTGGGGGTATTCAGGAGGAATTTCCACATCGAGTAGAGCTGACACTAGAAGGCTCTGAAGTCCCTTTTAATGAAGATTCTGTCTTGTGGAGTTCTTTATCTCTTTTGTAGATTCTTAACCACTGATCAGACAGTTCCCTAACATCAGGCAAATAAGGGTCGTGTGAGCACCAAGCCTCTTTATGCACTTTAAAACATGGGTTTCCAAAATCTTTAAATATACTATATCATGTAAGAATGACTCCTTGAACACAGTAGGACAAAAAACAGTTTCAATTCCTTTAGCAGAGAAGAAACAGAACTTAGCTTCTGGTCATGAATCTACCCAGGAACTAGAGACCAAAGGGGTTTTGCCTCCAAACAATGTCTGCCGAACCCTCTTGCTGTCTCGAGCATGTTGGTACCCACCAGTTCGGAGGAGATGCTCTGTTTGGTCACAGTGCCCACCTCAGGAACACGAGCCTTCACCTGCGCTTTGATGTAGCACTTCTCTCCTCCAGCAAAACGGATTCCTGTGATGCCCTATGAAACAAAAGTGTATACATCCATCTGTCCATTCATTCACTTATTCAACTTATTGAGTGTCTACTGTGTGCCAGGCACTGTTCTGCATGCCGGGTACAGAGATGAACACAACAGATGAAATCCCTACCCTCATGGAAGCTACCTCTTAGCATTATTTACCAATAATAAAAAGACAGATAAAGTTGGGCAGTAATAAGTGATATGAAGAAAAATAAGCTAGGTTTGGTGGCTCAGCCTGTAATCCCAGTGTTTTGGGAGGCTGAGGCGAATGGATTGCCTGAGCCTGCGGGTTCGAGACCTGCCTGGGCAGCTTGGCAAGACCTCGTCTCTACAATAAATCAAAAACTAGCTGGGCATGGTAGCGCGCACCTGTAGTTCTTCCGCTGAGGCGGAAGGATAGCCAGAGCCCAGCAGATCGAGGCTGCGGTGGCCGGGAGCATGCCACTGCACTCTAGTCTGGGCGATGGAGTGAGACTCCAACTCAAAAAAAAAAAAAAAAAAGAAAGAAAGAAAAGAAAAATAAGGCAGAGAAAGAGGAGAGGAAGGATGGGACTTCAGGGGAGGTGACTCTATGAGAGGATAACATTTGAACTGGGACAGAATATGTTAATTACTCCACCTATGCCCACAAGCTTAGGTGAAATGCTCATCTTTGAACATCCCATTCTAAGCAGACTGTTCTTCCTCTGACTTCCCATAAACCCTCCTATCTTCATCCCTCATTTGGTACTTAATCTCCACTGCTTACTTTTTTTTTTTTTTTTTTGAGTTGGAGTCTCACTGTCGCTCAGACTGGAGTTCAATGGCTGCTCCCGGCCACCGCAGCCTCGACCTGCTGGGCTCCGGCGGTCTTTCCGCCTCAGCCTTCCAAGTAGCCGGAATTACAGGCATGCGCTACCACGCCTGGTTGATTTTTTGATTTTATTGTAGAGATGAGGTCTTGCTGCCCAGGCAGGTCTCAAACCCGCGGGCTCAGGCAATCCACTCACCTCAGCTTCCCAAAGGCGTGGGATTACAGGCTGAGCCACCGAGCCCGGCTCACTGCTTACTTAATTATAAATTTCTTGAGATCAGTATCTGAATCTTTATTTATTTATATTTTTGGTGACCCTGAAAGCTTCCCAAAAGATGTTGGTCAAATCAATTCCATGAATTCAGAATCTTCTTTTTCTTTTTCTGAATTGAAGTTTCACTCTGTCACCCAGGTTGGAGTGCAGTGGCACACTCCCAGCCACCGCAATCTTGACCTGCTGGGCTCAGGCGATCTTTCTGCCTCAGCCTTCCAAGTAGCTGAAACTACAGGCAGGCGCCACCATGCCTGGCTAATTTTTTGATTTATTGTAGAGATGAAGTCTTGCAAATTGCCCAGGCTGGTCTCAACCCCGTGGGCTCAGGCAACCCTCTCACCTCGGCCTTCCAAAGTGCTGGGATTATAGGCGTGAGCCACCATGCCTGGCCGAATTCTGAATTTCCAAAGTGACTGAGTCCAGAGTGAATAGTAAACCTTTTTACAGCACTGGGAGCTGAGCTTTGCTTCTGTACATTACCCAAGGACTTGGATGTTTTGTTTTTTTGCCCTCTGTGAGATATAAACAAAGTCTTCTCCTGTAATGCCTAGGGACCAACCTCAAGGGAAAGATCAGCTACAAGTCTCCAGACTTTGCTGACAGCTCAGCATTGATTCTACCCACAGAGGATCTGAGGGGTAACAGGACGTTCTGTTCCAAGAATGTTTACTTTCACCCTGCTGGTTTTAGTTTCATGACGAGTGAACCCCAAATAGTACAAAGGTCTACAAATTTTATGGTATAATAATGTAGACACCAGCACAGATCTGAACCTTGTCCATCTTTTCTCGAACCGAGACAAGTGTGGAGATGATATAGAACTGGTACCAGGGTCAGTGTTAAGCAATGGGAGAAGAAAAGCACTTGTAAATCTAGGGATCCTGGTTCAGGATTGGCCCTTTAAAATGAAGAACAAAGTTAAATGTAAGTCATGCTACAAGAGATTCTCTAGACCAGGAGCCCTAGGGAAGTCTCCCCAGACTGGAGAACAGAGAAGGAAAGGCTTGTTCTTCCTAAGGTGTCCTCATTATTTGCTTTTCAGTCTACTTGGCTATGTACATACATGTAACTCATTTCACCTATTTCTCCTAGGAGTACTGCTCACTCCAGAGAGAGACAGGGGCATTATACTCACTTTACAGAAGAGGGACACCAAAGCTTGCTGCAAAGGTTTAACTTTCACTGCAAATGAATCCCCTGGGAGGTTTTAAGAACACAGTTTGGACCCAGTTTGGCTTGGGTTCCAGGCACTGGAATTCTTAAAACCCTTCTAGGTGTTTATAATGAATAGCCAGGGTTGAAGACTACCAGTTGAGGAAGAAAGGAACTTGTTCAGGGTAACAAAGCTATTAAATGACTGCAATAGCCTTTGGATCCACGTTTCTTTGTATCAGTGGGTCATACACTTTTCCTTGCATCAAAATCACCTGAATCCCCAGAAAAACTTCACCACAGTCTCCCTAACAACAGAACCTTAAAACACCAAACGAAATCAAGGGCATCTACATAAGAATGAGGAAGTCAAACTGTCCCTCTTTGCTGATGATATGATCTTTTTTTTTTTTTTTTTTGAGTTGGAGTCTCACTCTGTTGGCCACTCCTGGCCACTGCAGCCTCGACCTGTTGGGCTCTGGCGATCCTTCCGCCTCAGCCTTCCGAGTAGCCGGAATTACAGGCATGCGCTACCACGCCCGGCTGATTTTTTGTTTGTTTGTTTGTTTATTGTAGAGATGAGGTCTCGCTGCCCAGGCGAGTCTCGAACCCGCAGCCCAGGCGAGTCTCGAACCCGCAGGCTCAGGCAATCCACTCACCTCAGTCTCCCAAAGGCGCGGGATTACAGGCTGAGCCACCGAGCCCGGCAATATGATCTTATATTTAGAAAAACCTAAAGACTCCACCAAAAACTCAAACTGGCAAATAAATTCAGTAAAGTTGCAGGATACAACATTAACACACAAAAATCAATAGTGTTTATTTACATCAATAATAAACTAGCTGAGAAAGAAATCAAGAGGACAATCCCATTTACAATAGCTACACAAATAAATAACTAAATAAAATACCTAGGACTAAATTTGACCAAGGAGGTGAAAGATCTCTACAGGGATAACTACAAAACACTGATGAAGAGAACTAAAGAGGATACAAATAGAGGGAAAGACATCTCACAGTCATGGATCAGAATAATAAATATTGTTAAAATGTCCGTACTGCCCAAAGTAATCTAAAGATTTAATGTAACCCTTATCAAAATATCACTGTTATTTTTCACAGAAATAGAAAAAAAATCCTTAAATTTGTATGGAATCAAAAAAGATCCCCATAGCCGAGGTAATTTTGAGCAAAACGAATATAACTGGAGGAAGCACACTACTTGATTTCAAAATATCTTACAAGGCTATAGCAATCAAATAGGATGGTGCTGGTATAAGAACAGATATAGATCAGTGAAACAGGCTAAAAAATCCAGAAATAAATCCACATATTTACAGTCAACTGATTTTTAACAAAGGTGCCAGGAACATAAACTGGGGAAAGGACAGTCTCTTCAATACATGGTACTGGGAAACTGGATATCCATATGCAGAAGAATAAAACTGGGCCCCTGTCTCTCACCTATAAAAAAAAATCAACTCAAGATGGACTCAAGACTTAAACTTTAGACACAAACTATAAAGTTACTAGAAGAAAACATAGAAAAAAATACTTCATGACACTGGTATAGGCAAAAATGTATGGCTAAGACTCCAAAAGCATAGGCAACAAAACCAAAAAATAGACAAATGGAAATTTATTAAACTAAAAAGCTTCTGCACAAGAAAGGAAACAATCAGTAGAGTGAAGAGACAACCTGTCGAATGGGAGAAAATACCTGCAAAATATTCATCCTACAAGCGACTAATATCCAGAAGATACAAGAAACTCAATTCAGCAGTAAAAACAAAAAACCCAAAACCCCAAAAAAACAAATTCCATTTAAAAATGGGCAAAAAAAACCCCCATGAATAGACATTTCTCAAAAGAAGACACACAAATGGCCAAAAGGTATATGAAACACTCCTCAACATCTCTAATCATCAGGAAAATGCAAATCAAAATGACAGTGAGATAGCATATTACTCTAGTTAGAATGGCTATTATTAAAAACACAAAAATAACAGATATTGATGATGCACAGAAAAGGGAAAGCTTATACATGGTTGATGGGAATGTAAATTAGTACAATCACTATGGAAAACAGTCTGAAGATTTCTAATAGAATTACCATATGACCTAGCAATTCCACCACTGGGTATTTATCCAAAGGAAAAGAAATCAGGATATCAAAGGAATTCCTGCACTCTCATGTTTATTGCGGCATTACTCACAATAACAAAGATATTGGAATCAACTAAGTGCCCACCAATGGAGGAATGGGTAAAGAAAATGTGATATACGTATGTACACAACGGAATACTAGTTATCCATATCAAAGAATGAAATCTTGTCATTTGCAGCAGCACTGATGGAACTAAAGGTTATTACGTTAAGGGAAATAAGCCAGGCACAGAAAGACATATTGCATGTTCTTACTCATATGTGAGAGTTGGGGTAGAGAGTAGAATGACAGATGCCAGAGGCTGAGAAAGGTGTGTAGGTAGAAGGGGAGGATGAAGAGAGGTTGGTCAGTGGGTACAAATGTAGTTATATAGAAGAAATAAGCTCTAATGTCCGATAGCAGAGTAGGATGACTATAGTTAGCAGTGATGTATTACATATTTCAAAGTAGCTGGAAGAGAGGTCTTGAAATGCTCCCAATACATAGAAACGATGAAACTCAAGGTGACAGACACCTCAAATACCGTGACTTGACCAGTACACATTCCATGCATGTAACAAAATATTACATCTACCCCATACATATTTAAAGTATTATGTAATAATTTTTAA